TAAAACAGTGATGGTGAACCTTTTAAAGACCGAGTGCCCAAACTGCAACCCACTTATGTATTGTCAGGTGCCGGGTGGGCGTGGACCATTCGGTGAGCATGGCTTTGATGGTAAAGGCAGATTGGGTGGGACTAAAAAGTTCAACTTCTCATGGGGAAAAAAATGATCTCGCAAAATTGGAATTGATTGATTGAACCTTTTTTTTGCACATGGCAGTGGAGGCCTAAAGCGAAAAGGTTTTATAAAACCCAGCTGAAGGACTGGGGGTAACGGTGCACGTGCCCACAGAGAGGGCTCTGCGTGCCACCTGTGCATGCATGCCATAGGTTCACCACCACGGCTCTAAAATGAAAACTTAAATTAAGCCAGCACACAACTTGGAAGCTGTTGAAAATCTGAGAATGAATAAAAGGAATAAAAGGAATAAAAGCAATGATCTAATTAGGATTTGGATTGGGTAAGCAATAAATATATCACCTATTTTTACTTATCTCTACCTTCTCCGAGATAAAAGCATGAAAAAATTTAGCAACTCTTTAAAATAAACCTTTTTATTAAAAATAAGAAACAAATTTAAATCTGTCATTAGGACTGGAAAACTGACCTTCCTACTTTTACACAATTTCTGAAATCTGTGTTTTATTTATCAACTCTGTGACATTCTGTTCAATGTTTATTTTGGATTGACGTTAATTATTTACAGCAGCAACTGCAGCGGTGCCTGTTCTCTGGAATGAAACTTCCCCCAAGATTTGAACACCCCTCCCTATCCACTGGTGTTTTGAAGGGTCTTGAAGACTTGGTTCTTTGCCCAGGCCTTTGGCAAGAAAGCCCTCTTTAAACTATGTGGGTTGTTTTCTCTTTTCCTATATGGTTTGTTATTTTGCCATCTTTTATCTTTTTTCTTTGTCTCTTGTTGTTTTTCTTGTTTTTAATGTTTTAAACAATGCTTGGAACTGCCAGGAGACAGGCAGCAGCCAAATTTATTATTGTGAACCCAGTTTTGCTGCAAGTTTAATAGACTGGGTTCACACAATACTCTAATTAACCCTATCCTAGAACTGAACCAGTTTTTAAACTCAAACCTTGTATTAATGCCTGCTTTATTGATTTTAATACTGTTTCCTGTTTCCAGATGTGGTTCAAAATTGGAAATCAGGATATTTCCTTAAAAGGCAGAGTTATAGCTAGAAAGTGGGAGATGTAATAATATCAATAATAGTAGTAGTAGTAGTAGTAGTAGTAGTAGTAGTAGTAGTAGTAGTAGTGTTGGAAGAGATCTTGGAGGTCTTCTAGTCCAACCCCTCTGCTCAGGGAGGAAACCTATACAATTTCAGACAAATGATTGTCCAGTCTCTTCTTAAAAACTTCCAGTGTTGAAGCATTCACAACTTCTGGAGGCAGAAGTTCCACTGATTAATTGTTCTAACTCTCAGGAAATTTCTCCTTAGTTCAGGGTTGTTTCTCTCCTTGATTAATTTCCATCCATTGCTTCTTGCCTGCCTTCAGATGCTTTGGAAAATAGCTTGAATCCCTCTTCTTTGTGGCAGCCCCTGAGATATTGGAATATTGCTATCATGTCATCCCTCGTCCTTCTCTTCATTAAACTAGACATACCCAATTCCAGCAACCTTTCTTTATATGTTTTAGTTTCCAGTCTTCTGATCAACTTTGTTGCTCTTCTTTATATTCTTTCTAGAGCCCCAACATCTTTTTTACATTGCAGTGACCAAAACTGAATGCAGTATTCCAAGTGTGATCTTACCAAGGCATTATAAAATAGTACTAATGCTTCATGTGATCTTGATTCTATTTCTCTGTTAATACAGCCTAGCAGTGTTGGGTTTTTTGGCAGCTGCTGGCTCATATTTAAGTGATCGTCCACTAGGATTCCAACAATTACTACTACTGACCAAGGTACCACCTATACTGTACCTGTGCATTTGGGGTTTTTTTTTTTCCGCTTAAGTGTAGAACCTTATTTTTTTCACCATTGAATTTCATTTTGTTAGATAGTGCCCAATGTTCAAGTCTATCAAGATCCTTCTGTATCTTAAGCCTATCTTCTGGAGTGTTGGCTATTCCTGCCAACTTGGTGTTGTCTGCAAATTTGAGTTCCCCATCTATCCCCTCATCCAAATCATTGATGAAGAAGTTGAAGAACACTGGGCCCAAAACAGAGTTCTGGGGCACCCCACAACACACTTCCCTCCATGTAGATGCTATTCCATTGAGGACCACATGCTGAGTACAGCCGGTCAGTCAGCTACGAATCCATCTGATGGTGATGCTGTCTCACCCACATTTTTCTATCTTAACAAATACTTTATCAAATGCCTTACTGAAGTCCAAGTAAATTATATCCACAGCATTCCTCTAATCCACTAATTTTGTCATCTGCTCAATAAGATTTGTTTGGCATAATCTGTTTTTGACAAACCCCCATGTTGGCGTTTGGTTTTGACTGTTTGCTTCTAGGTGTTCACTGATTGGTTACTTGATTATCTTTTCCAGAATCTTTACAGGTATTGAGGTCAGGTCTGTAGGTTCCTGGATCCATTTCCCCCCCCCCCCGGAAAAAATCAGCCCTTTTCAGTCCTCCAGGATCTTTGAAAGATATAGAGCCGAGGTGGCGCAGCAGTTAGAGTGCAGTACTGCAGGCCACTTTAGCTGACTGTGTTCAGCAGGTCAGCGGTTCAAATCTCATTGGCTCAAGGTTGACAGCCTTCCATCCTTCCGAGGTAGGTAAAATGAGGACCCAGATTGTTGGGGGCAATGTAAATATATATATATATATATATATATATATACACATTGCTTACTGGTGTACACCGCTTAGAGAGTGCTTGCACTTAAAGTGGTATATAAGTCTCATAAATAAATAAATAAATAAATAAATAAATAAATAAATAAATAAATAAATAGTTCAGTGTTTCTGAGATCACATCTGCCAGTTCCTTCAGAACCTTGGGTCCTGGTGATTTAACTCAGGGCTTTTCAACCTTTTCACCGATTGTATCACTTTTAGGATATGGCAATATTCGCGTATCACCTAGCAAAGTGTCAAAAACTTGATAATCAAAAAAAACCTGTTCAAAGTTGCAGTTGCGCTGAAATGACTTATGACCATTTTTCACACTTATGACCATTGCAGCCATCAGCCAAATAGAAATTGCCAAACACTCTTTAAGAACACCAAGCCTACATTGCACAAATCCCAGAACTTCAAAGTCACAAAAGCACACAAGAATTCTTTCACTCTCCCTCCCTCTGTGCCACACCTCCAGCCATTGATGCCTTTTTTCATTCCTCTTGAAGTGTGACCCCTCCTCCACTGCATTTCTTGCCTGTTTGCTGCTGCCAGCACAGGTGGCTGCCACAGCAGTTGTAGATTAGCTCATGGCTGGCTGGCTTGCATGATCTCTCCTTTTCTCCCACCTCCTCCTCCTCCTTTCCCTTCAGTGCAGCTAGAGCTGACCACTTCCTCCCAAGGCTGCTGCTTTTTTCCATCTCTCTCCCTCTCCCGCCCAAACTGCCTCCTTTTATAGCCTCTCCAATCTCTGCCCCCCTCATCCTCCTTTCTCATGGGGGAGGGTGAGTCAGAAGTGAGCCTAGAGCCTTTGCCTCACCCCAGCCACTCTGCAGCTCCAGAGGACTCTCTCAAAGTAAGTCTTTGCCTGCGCTGGCTCTTTCCCTCCCCCACTACACTTGGCTAGGCAGGGCTGCGTACCACTTGTGATACCTGTACTACTGGTTGAGAAGCCCTGATTTAACTCGTCTAGGCTGGACAAGTGCTCACCTGCCATTTGGCTATTTTAATTTGTTTGTAATCTGTTTTTTACAGTACTGTTTTTGATAGATTGCACTGTTTTTCCCTTAGTGTAAAGACAGATACAAAAAACAAGTAGTTTGCTTTCTCCCTAATGCTTGCCACTTTCCCCCACTAATGGACTAATCAGTTCCTTAACTTTTTTCTTGTTTTTTATATATTGAAAGAAGCTTTTTTGTTTGTTTGTTATTTTTTACTTTGTCACAAGCCTTAGTTCATTTTGAGCCTTAGCTTTCCTGATTTCATCTTTGCTATTTGCTTGGGCTATTTGCTGATATTCTGGCCTTAGTTATGTGTTCCTCTTTTGTCTTATTCTTTTTGTCTTTCAATTTATCAGAGAGTTCTTTATGCAGCCATGCTGGTTTCTTTTATATGCTGCAATTACAGTGAGCAAGTGAAAAGTCTTTATCTAATACTGATAATCTGAAAAAATTTCAAGTGTTTTGAAGTGAGACCTACATGCAAGCTTACAATCAGAATTCCATACATGTCTACTTGGAAATTAATCTAATTCCCCAGGTAAATGTTTAGAATTTCAGTTTCAGCCTGAGCACAAGCATATGCATTTATTTATCTCAATGCTTAGAAGAAGCTCTTCTTCACAATTAAATCGGACTTTCTGAAAAGAGAGGGAGAGGGAGAGAGAGAGAGAGAGAGAGAGAGAGAGAGAGAGAGAGAGAGATGAGCACATATTAGAAATTCTTTATTCTTTTTCTATTTAAAACAAACTTCTGCAAAGAAAAAATAAATTCAGTGTGTTCCAACTAGAAGCTTTCTAGGTATGTTTATCTATTAAATTTTTATATTACCCATCTTTCTTATAAGGTGACTCTAGGTGGCTTACAAGTTATAAAATAAGTAGAAAAATAATTAAAATGTTAAAACATTAACACTACATAAATTAAGATTACAAAAATTAAGATTACATAAATTAAGATTACAAAATCAAAAGAAGGATATTATGGGGATGAGGTATTCTTATCCCATCAGCCATGGCTAGCAGTATGCCACTTCCTGGGAACCCTCGGCCAACTGGCAAACCCTTCCGAAAGGGTGGAATTAGTTCTAACATCTGATGGTAGACTGTTCCACAGGGATGGGGCCACAGCAGAAAAGATTCTTTTCCTTGAATCCATTTCCTCAAATTCCTTAGCAAACAGGATCTGTAGCAGTCCTCTTCCGCTGGCATGAGTCGGGCAGGCTAGTTCCATGGGGGAGAGACAGCTCCTCAGATACCCTAGCCTAGACCTTTGTCATGTAAGGCTTTAAAGATAACAATCAATACCTTGAATTGGATTCAGAAGCAAACTGGTGACCAATGCAGCTAGTGCAGTAACAGTGTCATATGTGCAGCTCAAGAAGCTCCCAAAACTGTGCATATTGCTGCATTCTGCAGCATCAGTAGTTTCCAAATACTTTTCAAGAATAGCCCCATGTAGAGTGCATTGCAATAATCCAGCCAAGAGATGACTAAGGCAGGGGTGTCAAACTCAATTTCATTGAGGGCTGCATCAGCATTGCGGGTGCCCTTGGGGGGCTGCGTGAGTGTGGCCAGGGTGGGTGCAGCCTACTGGGTGGGCGTGGAGTGGGTGTGGCCTACTGGGTGGGTGTAGCCAGCTCTACATTGTTCGCGTGCCTATGGTGGCCTGGGCAGGAGTGGGACAGATCTGAGGGTCTCTGACGGAAAGGGGTGGGACAAGCGCCAAGGCATGGTCCATTTCTTCATTCCTCACAAAGGGTAACACCTCCCCAGGAGGCCGGGGCAACGTAGCAGGGGCTGGTTCCTCACTGTTTCCGGACGGCCTTGTGGAGCTAAGACTGAATACATTTCAGCATAGATAGCCACCCCAAAATTGTACATTGGCTCCCAGCCAGCCTGCGCAGGGCCAGGCAGAGGGGGCCGTTCCCTCACTGTTTCCAGGATGGCTTTGCGGGCCACATGAAACCACTTCACGGGCCACATCCGGCCCCCAGGCTTTGTGTTTGACATGTCTGGACTAGGGAATGAATTACCACATGATCCAGGTAACGGTGCAATTGTTGCACAACATGAAGTTGCACCAAAGCCCTCCTAGCCAGGGCTTCCACCTGCTTTTTAAGGAGTCATGAATACAGGAAGACCTAAAAATTGCACAGTGGCTCTTTCTGAGGTAATGTAACATCATCCAGAGTTAAGAATGAGGTCCCTTGCATCCAAACCCACTTTGTTTTGCCTTGGATATTGCTCTAAAATTTTTGAATTTCTGATAAATTTATCTGTAAAATATAGAATTTATATTTTCAGAACATCTGAAGAGAATCAGACCAAAGAAGGCTGCATTAGATTAACTTCATCTATAACAAATAAAACATCAGGACTTAATGTCCTATTTTTAATAAAATTTAGGATGCAATCATGCATCTAAACTATGCAAAATGTCTCATTAAGTTCTCTGAGTGCAAAAGCCTGTCGAAATTCCACTGGAAATAACAAATTTTTGCTATGGTTGGCATTATCCTAAGCCACATTTCCTTAACTCTAGTTTATTGAGTAAACCACAATTGTCTGGATTACATATTGTACTAAGCCATAAATAATAGCTGATAAACAATTATGATAAACCAAAAATAGGTGGGTTTGTATATTACTTTAACCCTAAAGTAAATAAACCAATTTATGATTTCATGTCACGTGTAAACCTAATTTGTTTTAAGGAACAATATCGTCTATATTTAAATACACTAAGCCAACTATGGTTTACTGAATAAACCATTATCTGGTTTACACATATTCAGCCCTAACATTATATGATTGGATTCAAAGGACCTGATAAACCACAAAGAAACCACTTCAAGCAAAACCACTCATGTTTTTAAGGCTGGCCTGGTTAAGTTTGATAGAAATATTGGTTTGTTCATTTAAAGAAAATAAAAATTAGAAGCCCAAAGCAGCATACACAAGATGCATTGTGTCATTTTTTTTCTGCAACAACAGTGAGATTGGTTGGTCTGAGAGCAAATGGTCAAAATTATCTAGTGAACCTCTGTGGCTGAAGGTAAAGTTGAACCTGGGTCTTGTGATCATAAATCCAGCATCGTAAATGCTCACTATATTGCTTTGTTGTAATAATAATGTTTATGGAATCCTTCCACTTTAATGGCTATAACAATATATATAATTGCGCTCACACAACCTGCTGTATCACTAACATTTTTGCCTATTATGTTGATGAACTTATACTATTTGCTTCTGGTTTGGAATGCTATCAGTAAATCCTCCCTATGTTTGTCACATAAGACTTATTCTGCAAATACGTACAACTATGAGTTAAAATATATTGGCTAATGTGCCTCACTGCACTGCACTGAAGCATGCCTTTTTTATATTCTGTATTTTGACAATCTCTGTATTTTCAAATACTCTTCTCCCTGAAATTTGGCAAGCCTCTGTCCTCCTAGCCTTCCGAAATGCACTAAAGACCTGGATTTTCCCCTCAGGTTCTAGAATGGAATAAGGAGATTGTACATCAGAATCTAGACTTACTGCCATTTTTTAAAGGTTTATAATCTAATAGTTTTATATGTTTTAATGTTATTTTAAATCTCCCTACTTTTAAATAGTTCAAGGCAGCATATATACCTAATACTTTTCTCATTAATTCATTCAATTTCTATAGCTGCCCATCTCAGCAAAAGACTCTGGGCACTCACAATTCAAAACATATTACAATTAATATCTTAAAAACATCTTAAAACAACAGAAACAGTAAAAAGCATTAAACCAGTAAAAAAATTAAAACATCTAATTCAAAGTATATACAAAGCAAGATATCTGGGCTACTAACAATATATAGCCAGAAGGCAGGATCTTTGGCACATGTACACTTCAGGCTAAGGAACATAGCCAAGTTTCTAAAACTTTACAGAAGTCTAATAGGGATGAGGAAATTCTGATTTCCAAAACGAGGATGTTCCCCTGGGCAGGGACAGCTGCAGAATAAACTGGTCTTCTAGTCTGCAGCATGCCCATCCTATTTGATCTAGGGTAGACGGGTGGAAACTCTGAAAAAAAAAGTGATCCTTCAAGTACCATGATCCCAAACCTATGATGGCTTTATAAGTAACCATCAGCATCTTGAATTACATCCGGAAACACACTGGTAACCAGTGCAGCTCACATAGTATTAGTGTTATGTGTGCCATATATCTGGCACCCTTTCCTCCAAATCGGGGATTTACTTAAGTCTGTGAGCCATCATGAACTTGTTTTTCTTAACCTGGCCATACTACTTCTTAACACTTTTGCGATAGGAGACGTGTCTATCCTTGAGAAACGTATATGAATGCCAAGCAAACTGCGACATTTTAGAAGGGAGATATAAACTTTTGAGAAAAAAAAATGTTCTCCGTTATTCAGCTTCATCTCAAGTTGGCAAGGCAACCGTTTTTGTAGATTTCCTTTGAATCTTTTTCCTTTTTATTTAATCGATCTGTCCCAGGGCAGAAAAGACAGCGCTTCCACTCCACGGACGCGGCTGCAACAGCAGATCAAACTGCTTCGCTCGGCGCGAAGCCCACTCGGGGCCACTCCAGGAATGGATTTGCTTAACCACTTTCGCGTCAGCCGCGCCAGGCCCGAGGACACCGGCGGATCACGCGCGTTCCAGCTGCTCTTGGAGGTTGGTTTCAGCCAATGGGCGTGCAGAAGCGGTCCTTCCTCTCGGCTGGTTGGCGCGTCAGTCCCGGCGCCGCTTACTACTTGCCTTCGTTCGCGGGTGCCGGCGAAAGGGGCCGTCTGTACAAGGTAAAGCATGGCTGCCAAGGTAAGTCCCAGAGTCTGGAGCGCGGAGAGCAGCGCGAATAGTTGCTGGCACTGCTCCCTTGCGCGAATGGCTTCTAATCCGGGCTTTCTGCAGGCAGGCCTTGGCTAGCTGGACTGCCGAAATGGGCAGCACGGTGTGACCTAGGGCCTGTCCTTGGGTCGTTTGGCCCGCTTTAGGTAGTGGAGCCCAGCCGCGCTGCTTCCGGATCTGAATAGGGAAAGCGAGGAAGAGGATTTGCTTCAGTCTTCTGGCCTTTCCCTGGTGGCTGAGGCAGTGGATGGGAACAAGCTGAGCGCCTGTTGAGAAGAACGGAGACTGAGAGTTGCATAATGATCTTGCTCAAGTACTCTGCTAAATCTTGCTAATTATCCATTTAGTCCAATTATTTTATGTAGCCCAGTTTCCACAAAGCTTTGCCAGAGTTTAACAAATTTTCCCCAGATCTGATAGTGCCTTTTCAGAATATTGCCTTTTAATGATAGAGATCTGATTGTTTTATTAGGATCCATGCCCATTAGTAGATCAATCGGTAGATCTATTTGTTTTTCTCTTACATCCCCAATTTTTAGTGAATATTCTAAAGAGTTTGCAGGGCAAAAGGAAAAGTATTTTGAGTACATTCAGATTATCCTCTGGGTTCTTGGTTCCTTTCTAGAAAATAGCTGTAGGCTAAGGCCTGTGGTTCACAGTAAGACATCTGCTGGAATATTAAGATCCATTCTGGTTCTTGCAAAATGAATTTGGGCTTAGTCACATTTATTAATGGATTTATTCCACAGTACATCTGCCCAGGAATTCAATCTTTAAAAATGGATTGGGAGGCTGTGCATGTTGTTGGAGTCCACTTTCCATTAGCTGAAGCCAACATAGCCACTGGTAAGAAATAATGACATTTATAATCCAGCAATATCTCATGGCCACAGGATTCGGTTTCCTCTGTAATAAATAATAAAGTGGCTTTGAAATGCCATTTCTATCTGCAATTTCTTCAACTTGCAAACTTTTCTTGGTTTGAAAAACAATTTCCTATTTCTTAGCAATATAAATTCAGTTCTTGTGAATTTATGGAGACTATCTTGCATAGCATAAAATTTTTCTTTCTTTTTTGGAATAGTATCTTTTTAAAATAACTGCTTGTTCCTAGTATAATACTTGTACGGTTCAAAGAGCTGAGAATGACACAAAGGTCATATTTATGTAAGACCTTAGTTTCAATAGTGATAAAAGTCACTTGATTTACTTTGACCAGTTTCCCAATTCAAATACAGAGTGAAAGCTGGTTGTTAGCCAAGAGGAGAAATTATATTAAAAGTGGAAATTATTTATTAATAAGCACATTTAAAAATCTCAGGGATTAAAATGCTTTATTCTCTTATATGCTCCTTTTTCTTTCTCCCATTAAATACCATTTGACTGATGCAATGAATGCAGGATTGGTTCATGCATCACATTAAAGAAAACATGATGGCTGATTTAAACCAATGCATTGAACCACAAATTATATTGTGGTTCATATTAGCATACTATTAGCATAGTATTTTGTGTGTACCATGCTTTGTGATTAGTTTGTGGTTTATTTTATGATACAAATCCAGAATGTTTGACTGAGTAAACCATTCAATTGATAATAGAATAAGCATGTTATGTGAATGAAGCCATTGTTGATTTTGGTTAGTACTTTGGTCAATGTACTAAATGACAATGGTTGTACTGGTTTGCACAACACTGGTATTTAAATTAGTGACTTGTGGTTTATTAATTGAATCATATTTGATCAGTATATTTTATATTATTGCTTTGCTGTTGAATATTGATATTTAAGTTAAAGTAAAAGAAAAAAGAAAAAGGGCAAAACATTAACAATAAAACCTTCATTATGATAATAAAACCAGCAATCACATCCAAATGAAAACAAATTACAAACATAACATACACAGGCACACAGGTTGTCCTCATTTAGTAACTGTTCAAAATTACAGTGGTGCTGAAAATCAACTTAGTGATGAGTTCTCCCATTTATGATCTTCATAACATCTCTGATCTTATTTTCATTTGGTTATTTGAACGATACCAAGATATCCTCAAAAAGAAAGCTCAGTTCAGCTCAAGGAAATAACAAAAAGCAAAAGAAAATTGAAATAAAACTGTAAGCAGTCACAGTCATGTGATTTTCATTTAGCTACTAAAATTTTACTTAAATTGCTGGTCCCAATTGTGATTGCTAAACAAGGATTGTGTGTTTACATACACATACACACACACACACACACACACACACACACACGCACACAGAATATGTGTGTGCTTCTGAGTTTATTTGTATCTGTTTTCTATCCATATATTTTTTACGCGTGGTGTGTGTGTGTGTATATATGTCTGAAAAAGTTTAGTGTCATTTTTGAAATTGAAGGAGAGATGATGGATGGTACTTATGGAGTCATAAAACTGAGCAATCTGATAGGATATATCTGAATAATGGTTGAATAGGAAAACCAATAAATACAAGTCATGTTTTCCGTCAGGGAGTTGCTTTTTTTTAGGGCAAGTGTTAAAAGCTGCCTGGGTATAACTGTAGAGGAGTAAAATATATGGCTCATGGACTTTACTAATCGGTCCTCATAAGGACATATACATAGTGTAAAGTGGTATTTTTGCAGTGCTCTGGCAGAACAGAAGCATCCAGCTGGTCAAAGAGAAGTCTCAGCAAAATTTCAGAACTATGTTGCTGAAAAAATAAGAACCTGACATTATGAATATCATGGGGATATCTTTTCTAGCAAGGAAGTTTAGCCAGCCAAACAGAAAATTCTAAACGAATGTATTCATACATGCAAGTTATCAAGTGATGCTATATGAATGGTCTATCATGCACACAGTACCACAGAGATAATTTTCATGTTGCCTTAGATATAGCAGGATCAGTTTTTGCTTGCAAGAAAATTGGATGGACGTGAGAAAAGAAATAATGAATAATCAGTTTCCTAGCAAGTGTCCAAAGTATATAATAAGCTGTAGGTACGATATTATCACACTGATAATGATTTAGCTACATAAACTCTCCTATTAATTCCTATATGAAAGAGGCTTTGTGATGGTGACACCACTCCAACATTAATATTAACCAAAGCTATAATTTTAAATATATTTATTTTATTTTCTTTTTTAACAAAATTTTATTAAATTTATATAGGTAAGGAAAAATAGGAAAATACAGGTATGGTAAAGGGAAGGGTAAAAAGGAAAGGGGGAGGGGAAGGAAAAAGGGGATTAGGGTAAAATAAGGATAGGTACAATCACATATTTCAACAAACAAGCAACTGTCTAGTTCATAATAATAAGTAAGTATCATATTCAACCATTTTTAACAAAGCTTAAACTGTAACATATTAAAAATAATTAGTAAACAAATATGTTAATCTATTAAGTAAACACTACTAATAAAATCACACAAAAAAGGAAATAAAATAAAATAAAAAATAAATCCTAACAATCAAAAGTAACAAATAAAAATCAGTAAATCAGAAAAAGTAATTGTATCATCAAAATGTTAGTTAGAACTCGATTAAAAATCAGACATGGGCGTGCGATCGGCCCGAGGTTATCTAGAGTCACCAAAGTGGCCGGGGCGAGCCTGGGTTGGTTTTGGTCTGATAAATGCACGCATCCCCGGAGGTCAGCGTCGTCGGCATGTATTAGCTCTAGAATTACCACAGTTATCCGAGTAATGGTGGGAGCGACCAAAGGAACCATAACTGATTTAATGAGCCATTCGCAGTTTCACTGTCACGCCCGTGTGTACTTAGACATGCATGGCTTAATCTTTGAGACAAGCATGTGCTACTGGCAGGATCATCCAGGTAAAATATATTTATTTTCATTGCACATATTGGACCTTCTTAAAAATATGTAAGATTTTGTTGTAAATTGCAAAGAGGTCACAAGAGATTGGTGTCCTTTGTTCATTTAGGCCCTACAAGTATAATATTCTCAGACACAATAACATTTGTTAGGGAGTGTAAAAAACCCCTGAATTTAATGAAATGCTTTTTGGTTGCTCTGGTGATAATTTTTTTTTCTTTATTGGACTTTTATTCTAGGCTGCTGAGATACTTAGGAATTTCTAGCAGTAATTAGAGATTGAATGTTTTGAAGACACTATATTGTCCTGCATGGTATTCAGAATTGATTTAAAGTATAATTTATTGAAACAAGTCATATTTTATTAACTAAAACTTTTGTCTAATTATAAATAAGGACAGTGCTTTTATTTATGAAATTATGTGAGATCATTAGCCAGGTATTTTACAATATCTTTGAAAATAACTAAAGACCATGCTAGCTCTGAGTCTCCCACTTCTCTTTTGGTGGCACCTTGAATAGGGATGATTATAGTCAGTCATGTGCTTTCCCACCTTTTCTGAGGCAGAAGAATGAGAGATTTGTAGTATGTAATGTAATGTAATTATGGTATAATTTAAAAGCAAGTATTTCCTGAAAATCTCCCTCTTACCCAAAATAACTCTTAGTCCTCTCCATGGCTCCATCCAATTTCATCATGGTCTCCCTTGAAACTCCATCTGCTCCAGCCTATGGTATCCGTTATAACCAGGACACTAAGATGGAGTAGTAACCCCATCTTAAGCATGAATGGAGGCTGGGTGACTTTGAGTCTCTCAGCCCTTCTGTCTCAGCTCAATTCACATCACAGTTTGGTTATTATGGCAAAGGTATTAGGTGAAAGAGTATTACTATAGTTATATCACTGTTTTGAGTTATTTTTTATAAAAATATAACTTAAAATATATCAATTTGCAGCTTCACATAGTATACTTCTAAATTAAATATACAGTTGACTTGCATAGAATACTTAGCTAATAATTGGTTGGTTGGTTTATGATTTAGTGTGTTGTGCGAACAAAGGTTTATATAGGTAAAGGGATAAATTGAAATTCTTACTTGGATCCATGAAACTTTATGGACAATGGTTTCCAAAACACAAGCTTAATATAATTACTTTCATTTAACTTAATTTAATTATTTTCCCCTACCAGTTGAACCTATAATATATGTCTCGGAATGAACATTCTTTGGATACTGAAGCTTTCTTCAATACAAATCAGATTGTGCTTTGAAGTTGCTTTGGAATACCAAATATTTTTATGGAAGTTTGCAATATTTTATAAAAGTAATGAGATTTCTATAGAGAGCTGCACAATTTCTTAGTACCTTAAATATTAGATAAAAATGTTTTCCTTGCAGAAATATCAGCAATGAAGTAATATTTATAAATTTGAAAATTTACATAGAAATTACAGACCAGGTTGTAATATAATGATAATTTGGTCCCACATAACTAGTATTTTTTAGACTAGAGCTCAAGTAAATTGGAAGGTTCCTACCTGGTTTTTGTAAACATCTTCCTCTAATATATTCTAATAATATTTGGCTTTTTTTCCTTGCTTCAGCCAAACAATGGATTGGTGAGTCAGTGACATGTTTTCTAAGGCTTCTGTCTGTGTCAGAATCCTGCATGCCTACTTTTTAAAATTTAATTTGGTCATTCATTTTTTATACTCCTTTTCATTTCAGTGTATTTTTCTTCATATGCATCTCAAATTGCTAAGCATCTTTATTGCATTGTCTAAGCTCTTTGAAAGTGAATACCGTAGGTATTTTAACACTATCACTATTTATAAACATGCCTTTCAAAACTGGACATACCAAAAATTTTAGATACCCAGGGAGTCAAATGCTATTTGAGGTGTTTCAAGTTCCAGACAACAGTTTTTTTATTTGAAGGAGCTGCTTTGGGAACAAAATGGGGCTGTTTACGTTCTTGCAGAATGATCTAAGCCATGGGTCTTCAAAGTTGGCCCTTTTATGATTTGTAGACTTCAACTCCAAGAATTCCTCATGCTGGCTGAGGAATTCTGGGAGTTCACAAGCCATAAAAGGGCCAAGTTTGAAGATCTCTGGTCTAAACAATGCCAGAATACTTCTGGGAAGGTCAGAACAGCTCATTTAAACTCAAAATTGTGTTTTGTTCCAGAAACAATGTTCTTTGAATGTAAAATATTTTGTTGTTACTAATGCAGTAATATTTCCGATGCTGTATTTATACTGCACAGTTAGCCAGAGTTGTGTGCGTTTTCCACACTTCATGTTATAATGTGATTGGGCTTGGTTTGGTTTGGTTTGGTATGGTATGGTATGGTATGGTTTGGTTTGGTTTGATTTGGCCGAGCATGTGATAAAATTTAGCGACTCTATTTGTAAATCAAAATTAATGGTCTAACATGTTCTGTAAACTTAAAAATTGCAGTCTATTGTATATAAACCATTAATAAACAATTAGTATGTAAATTAGATAATTCCTAGATTAGTAAAACCAGTATGATACTTCCAGTATTATTCTTTTGTGGATGGGAAACAACCTTTGGTCTATAAAATTGCAGGTAGTCCTTGACTTACAACCATTTGTTTAGTGACTGTTTGCAGTTACAGCATCACTGAAAAAAGTGACTTATGACCATTTTTCACATTTTACAACCATTGCAGCTTCCCCATGTCATCAAAATTCAGATGCTTTGAAACAAATTCATAGTTATGACGGGTGTAGTGCGACAGGATCATGTGATCACCTTTTTTGACCTTCTGATAAGCAGTATCACTAAAGAAGCCAAATTCACTTAAAATCATGTTACTAACTTAACAATTGCAGTGGATTGTGGAAAGAAAAGTTTAAAATGGGACAAAATTCACTTAACAACTGTTTTGCTTAGCAACAGAACTTTTGGACTCAGTTGTGGTACTAAGTTGAGGACCAGTTGTATATTTCTTGACTGGCTTTAGAATTACTTCTTTATTTTAAATTAATGCATGTAGCAGTTGTTTGTAATTTAATTAACTGCCAAATTTATTTATTTTATTATTACATTATTATGATTTATATGTATGGAAGTCCTATGTGAGACAATTCTAAAATCTGAAGGGCTACTGAATCTGTCAGGGAAAGATTCTTAATTTCCATGGAGGTGGTATGTGCTGGGTTGCAGTTGGTTCTGCCCAAAGAATATAAAAAATAATATATCAAAATTATCTCTTAGTAAGTGAAATTTTATCTAAATACTTTTTAATACACACACTGTTCTGTCATCTTTGTCTTGTATGCTGTGCTAAATATTCTTTATATGCTGTCTCATACAAACAATTTTCTCTTATTCTGCTATAATTGGTACTAATTGAGAAAAAGCAATATTTTGCTTTTTGGAAGGTGCCAAAATCATAAATGGGAGTATTACTTGGTCTTCTAAATTGTAGTATAGGATTGCTTGCTATTGTTGGATTGTGAAGCATTAATAAGTGTTTGTCCTCTCAGTTTCAGAAATATCTGTTTTTTCCCCACATTCTGTCTTGTTGAATTAACGAAGTTGGTAATTCAACAGAAATAGTAAAGATGAAAAATGTGCTTTAAATTTTTTTTCTTATACAAATTCAACCTAGGAAAGCTGCCAATAACATTCTTTATTTGTATCATTCCTGAATATAAAACATGTAAAATGTTTTCTACCTTAGTACTGCTAAAAAATGTTGGACCTCAGCTACCTGGGAGTGATGGAGCTTTTAGTCATCATTTGAAATTAAGGGTAACCTGCATAATTGAATTATTTCTTTCTTTTGTGTCCCATGAAAGTTTATACCAGTGTAATAGTTTCTAAACAATAAACATAATAATAGAATACAGGCAATGGAAGAGCTGTGTCAACAGCTGTAGAAAATAAGGAACATACGGTACTTTGGATTCTAGTAGGAAATCAGTTTTTAGAATATATGTTTTACTTTAGCATTTGAATGGGACTTTCTCTTTTTAGGAATCATATTAAGGACTGGAAGTTGTTGTGTTTATTATTATTTATTATTACAGCCATAGGCCAACACATAAATTAAACATTCAAATAAAACAAAACTAAACAGAACCGGACATAAGAAGACATAGCAATATATTACAAATTAATGATGTAATCAATGGGTGATCAAGGTCTGCCTAGTTTTACAGACAGTATTACAAAACCTAGCTACCTTCAGAAAAACTGAACCATACTGACCTGACAATAAAAATACATTGAGTATAGTCTAAAAGATTATTAAAAAGATCTAAAATATTTATTTATGTTTCTGGTGAATCCCCAATGCTGCTGCGCAGAATCTAGCCACCTGCGCCGTGATCACTGCCTGCTCATCCTTAAGCAGCCACTGAAGATAAATACTTTCTGAACAACCAGGATACCTATCAATTATGGGGAGGATATGGTTTTTTTGAATAGCTCTGTAAAAGGAACATCAAAGGAATAATGTGTCCAATGGTCTCCATCTCTCCTGAGCCACAGAAGCAGAGTCTTCCAGTCAGTGGTGTCTTTTTATACTTGCTGTACAGGACGGCCAATGGAAATGCATGGCACTGTGCAAGCGAAAATGCTTTCTGATGGTTTACTGACTCCAACTGACTAAGAGAACTGGCAGATGTGACAACATATTTAATAGAGTATGGAGCCAGAAACATCAGTGCTATACCTAAGTCCACTTGCCTCTTGATGTCCTCTATCCTTAGTTGCGAGGTTTGTTTTGCTTGATCGTAATCCAATTTGAGAATTGAGGCTGATGAGAAGCCTGGTTTGGCAAGATTGGACTCAATTGCCTTGATCCATGAAGAGGAGAATTTATCTTGAAGAATTAATGGAGGAAGGCCTTGCGGTAAGCAATTAAGCCTTAGCCAGATATTTAAGGAAGCTATACAGATTCTTGCTTCAACTTTTATTAATCCTGTCTCCAGGCACAGTAGTGCATTTGGGACACAGCGC